ATACAAACAGCATAATTTTCTAAAAAGTCATAATTCCGAAATCTATATACAAAGACAATCTCCCGAAATGAATTTCCTCAAAATACTAAAAGCATACAATATTGTTCTAGAAAGTTACAATATCGAAATCAGCATTATTATTATGTCGGAAAAGTTGTATTTTTTGGTACACTGCCTATTTCGGTATTATATCTTTTGGGAATTGCATTGCTCCCCATATTTCGGGACAATCATATTTCGAGAGATTGTCTCGACATCCGGATTACGGGATTATGACATTTCGGGAAATTGTCCTGTTTTTCGAATTTCGAGATTTTAGTTTTTTCAGATATTGCATGGCCACCAATCATTTCTCGTGACGTATTGACCGCGAAGCTGAATTTTTCATGTCTACATCTCGCGGGGAGTTTTTATTATCGTAAAACGTATGACACATATCGTATATACATCGATAAAATATCGCTCAAATCAAACTGTATCATCGCGCGCGGTGATTTGTCTCGCTGGCGAGTCGCCGGTGACCTCCATGGCGCTACTGTAGAGTCAAATGCCGATTGCCGGTAATCTTCGTGGCAGTCAAAAGGTGTTAAAAGGTCACGAGAGTGAGAGTCACCGTTCCCCAGCGAAATGCATTAACCGCGTTGGTTACAATAAACTTACGATACCTTGCCCATCCTGGCGAATAGGCTTTGTTCGAATCTCCAGATGAAAAGATGCTACGAGTATCTTTAATATATCGCCTATTATTGCGAATAAGGTTCTGTAATTAAATCATAATTTTGTTGCAATTCCTTGCAACTAACTAATAAGAATGCTGCGGCGGTGTGTTTGATGATAAAAGAGTGAAATTTGTTATCTTTGTTCTTCTTCCTCATTGAGAGAGAAAATATCTAAAAAATAAAGGAATATTTATTCGACGAGTAAGATATTCGTACTGATATGATATAGAGAAATTTTTTTTAACTAGAAAATATATATTTTGTTAAACTCGCAGTTTTTTTCCTTGAAAAATGAAAGAAACAATTGACTGTTTTATTTAAACAAAAGAATTTAGATTTATGTAAATATGATAGCACTAAATATATTTTTATTTTTTTTAAGTATTGTTTCTCTTCATGCAGTCACGTATATCCGTCGCAGAACGCTAAACCTGGAAAAATAAAGTTAAACTTAGACTCTCATGAGTCTAGACGAGTTTCATGATACGTGTAGCGCGTGCAGACACACACACACAACAATTAAAATATAACATCATTATGTTGAAACGACTCGTTTAATTAATTCATTTGTAATTACCGTATAAATAATTATTGCGCCCGTGCGTCTAGACCGGTGCAGTTTCAATCTTTCTTTTCTGATTTCTATCAACGAGCCATTAACATTGTTCAACTTCTTACACGTTAGACCTAATTTTGCTCAGAAAAAGATTCCGGCGATGTAATAAGATAAGGCGAAGTATTTTAGACACGCGTTCGCGGACGGATTTTTTTTTTCACTTACTGAAACACCCTTAATGCATCACGGAGATACGTTCGCGTGTTTCACGAACACCCTGTACGCGTGTGAATATACATGTTCAATACAATGTTTAATCTTGAACGTATTCGCGGCGGTAGACGGCGATACACGGCCCCAGGACAAATAGAAACTCAAGCTAGCGACCTCTCTGCATAATGCATAACATCGTCGTCGTCTTCTTCATAGTCGTCGTTGTAGTCGTCGGAGTCGGTGGTCGCCTTCGCCCCTTTCCCTCCTCCCCCAGCCCACCCTTTCGTTCCTTCGTTAGCCTTTTATCCTTCTTCGTGCTTTCCCTTACTTATTCCGAGTAGTAGTTTTCCTCGACAAGAAGATATGCATATATAAGCACTGCGTGAAAAAAGGTAAAAAGAGGGGAACAAAAGGTTCACTCCTTCCGTTCTTTTCGGTCCTTCTTCCGCCGTCGTGGCGGTCCTTCTCCCCTTCGCAGCGCGCGTAGAGACTACATGCGTCCAATTTGGAGGTTATATCGGGGATACGCGTGGAGCGACCGTGTGTATGCGAGCGAACTCATTTTCTCGAATTCTTTCAAAGCAGTGTAAGGTAATGAATCCTAATGATAAATTATTTTAGATTAAATTAGGATGATAAAATAAGATAAGATTAGAATGAATTTCTCTCATTTACATAAATTTGTCGATCGGACATTAGAAGGAACTATCAATTTAAGCAATAAACATCATAGTTTTGAAGAAAAAAATTATCGGACTTTAAATTAAACGATTCTGAATAAAATAAAATAATTAGAAAAGTTTGTATACAAGTCCCCATCAGAGGCCAGCAAATTATTTCGCGTTTATATAACGAATTTTGTATTAGTAATATCCACGTTTACATTGATTTAGCTTATATAGAATAATGCTGTACGTAACACAACTTATTAATAGTCTCATACATTTAAAAAGTCAAGAAAGCAAATTATATATTTTCTAGATTTGTTAAGAACGCAAAATGCAAATCAAAATAAACACGCGGCTGTCGATCGTTGCTGTGGTTGTGCGAGACTTCGAGCATCAGTTTGACACGAAAAAACTCGCGTTAATCAGCCACCAAAAGTTCTTTTCGTTAGGCTAGCTCGAGAATCCTCGGGGAACATCGCTCTCTTCCGTTCGGAGGCATTTAACGGCACGCTTTCTGTCCGGCGAATTTCTAGTGCGAGTTTCGAAATTTCCGCTCGGAATTAGTCTCGACTTCTTCGTCGGTACTGTCAATTATGTGCGCGTTTCAGCTGATTGAGATTCTGCAGCGCGTGCAAGCTCATATCAGCGTACAGTAAGTCTCTCGAACGTTTCCACTATCGGGTCGGCCGCCGCGCTCGCTTTCGCCTCGCGGTTGCGCCGCTCGGCAAGTCCGAATTCTCATCACGACGAGGTCGGACCGTCGATTAATAGTGAGCAAGATCCTCCGTTGTCCCGACCGTTGTGACGTGAAATTAAGAGAAAATGACTCGCAACGATCTTAATTCGACCGTTCATCATCTCGCCGCGCTCGCTCGAATAGCGGAACCACGCGCTCGCCTCTCATTGGCTCGTGCAAATTCGTATTCGGCCGTTGTATTCCATACCGAGCTAAGAAAAATTAATTGTGAACAGGTTTGTGTCTACGAAAATATAATTTCGTGAAAATGCAGTTTCAACGGAGTTCTGCAGATTTTCTCAAGTTTTCATCCTTCTTATTCCTGTCGATCATTTACTCTGTCGCTCCCGTTAGCCCATTAGCCGGTAGCTGTCCCATCGTGGTTCGCTACCGGGTGCTCCGCATATTCCCTCTCTCGAGATATTCCACAAACTGTTTTCACACCTCTCTCGAGATGGTTCCGGTATTCACTTACACAGGAGGGTCGCTCAAGTGTAAACAAGACTCTTTTCTTAAATATTGACAAATGTTTGTGGATGTGATCTTAGAATGTGATTATGAAACAATTAAAGAATGTAAAAGAAATTTTTCCGTTTCTCTCTCTCTCTCTCTCTCTCTCTCTCTCTCTCTCTCTGCTCACCATAATGTATATGTTTTTTAATACATTAATGAATCAAGTTTGACCCAAAGTTGGGTCACCCCATAATTAGGACAGTTACCTTAAAACTTTTTTCCCGGCTTTGACAACAATAGCATTCAGTGCGACAACAATAGCAGAACGAGACCGTACAACACAAGTTTCCTTCAATGAGAAATTTAAAGAGATTCTGATAATAAATGTAAAAAAGAAACAGCCGTGTCTCAACGTTTTACAAGATCAAGTTGTTAACATTTTTTATGCAGACATTTATTGTATTTGTCTCCTATTGGCTTTTAAAACTGTTCTAAATTATATGTTAATTTTTTATCTAAATAATTGATGTTTTTCCATGTAAAATTATCCGATAAATATGGATATGATAATAGTAAGTCGATCAAAACAGTTTAAAACCGTAAAATATTTAATTTGTAAAAAAACTGATTTGAATTTTTTTAATATTTTTATTGATTTTCAACTTTTTTCACAGATTTTGTTAAGGATTTTGGTCGTTTGGTTTGTCGTTTGTATGATTTCGTATTACAAACAAATTAGTAATATCCGTATGTCACCGCGCTCGGTAGCCAAAACAACAAGTATCTATAGTAACTAATACTTTTTTATACACTTGTTTTTTCTTTATTATACTTCTGGTTTGTTATAATTTAGAAATATATTGATTCTTTAAGATTCTTTAAGAAATACAAGATAAAGACTTAAGGCATAATACACTGTCTTAAAGTAATAAATCGGCTATTATAAAATAGCCCTAATAAACAAAAATGACTTGATCTGGTAAAACGCTGAGACACGGGTATATTTGTTTTACATTTATTTTCAGAATCTTTTTGAATTTCTCATAGGACGAAAAAAATTCGATTTTTGTTGAACGATGTTATTGGACGACAGTCGTGAAATATACACGCTTCGTCATGTTCGAAAGAAGAATTCAGTTGAAATGCATCAATATTGAAACTTGTATAAAAATCATAATTAATTCGTTCACAGGGCCGTCGTCCCATTTTCAGGAAAAATTTTTCAGAAATTTTGTCCTGAATAAAATATTTTTATTAATAAACGATCTCCCTCCTCTCCCCCGCTTTCCCTCTCTTCCTCTCTCTCTTTCCATCAAGCATTCTGCAACATTTAATTTCCAGGTATTAATTTATTAACTATTCAATGATTTCAGTAGCCACGTTGGCTTTAAAAAAAAAGAAAGAACAATTGTGGTTGGACTAAAATCCTTTCCGCGCGCGCGCGCGTATTATGATTGCGATTTTTTAATCGGCATGCGCTGCGGCATTTCACGTGAAATAATGCGTGCGGTATCGTGATAAAATAATTCAGGAAGTTTTATTATTGCTTCAGCTGCGCAATTTTCCACCGACTAATTAATACGTGTGCGCACGTTCGTGAATTCGGCTATATGTACCATGAAATTACAGGTTCGCAACACGTTGTATGATTGCAGGAGTAACGATCGGCGAGGCGATGATGAGGCTTCAAAGTTACCGCTGATTCATAGGACATCCTGCAGGGCTATTCGTTTCCAGGATGAGCGCGTCGCTGCGGATTTTGGCTCTGATCAGCTTAGTCGCGCGAAATGTGGCTTGGCCGCAGGATCCCATTCCTAGACTGCACGTCAAACACCGTGAGTAATATTTAAACGTGAATATTCGCACGCAACGAACAATACATGCTTTAACCAAAACGGACAGCTTATATTCGCGTTTCCGTCTAGTGAAACCGCCGTACCTGTGTTTAGTAGAATCGTCGTCCAGTGTTACGTTCTAAGCATAATTCACATTTTAACTCCCCAATTAGTAGTGTAATTCAGTAACAGCGGCAGTCAAACGATAAAAAGTTCTATTCATTAAAGAAAAAAGGAATGGATTCAACGCTTCCATTCCCTCGTTGCGGCCACATTGAATTATAATGTCAGAAAAGCCGGAAATCGTGTGTTTTATTCTTTATATTGTATGTCCAAGTAAATTAGTTTTCCTGTGTGTCGTCACTCGCGTTCGATATTTTAAATTGATACTGAACTTTAAATTGATGTCTACTGAAAACTCGCATTTCCGGTATTAATAAATAACTAAAAATCGCGATCGACTGTCGTCGGGTTTATCTTGGTTGGAAATGTGGGACGGTATGTAATAGATTGAATTATACGTTCGTTCGTTAACGCGCGATAAGGGAAGAGAGACGATTTTTGCCAATCCATACTGACTAACGCGACGCACGAAGAAAGCAATCTATCTCAACGTGTTTAGCGGGAGAAAAAGAATGTTGCACCATTTCTCGCTTCTGAAACGTCGTAGTTAGGTGTGGCTGCAATTAGCAAGCCGGCTTCCTCCAGATAGCTCGAGAAAAGAACCTCAGTAGAAATTTAAGCAGGGATCTGGTCGGTTTTTCCTACTTATCGTTAGAATCCGACCGGAAAACCCTGTCTGAATCCGACTGGGAAACGCCCCACGTTTAATAGAGATACCGACCAGAAAAACTGACAGGGATTTCCAATCGAATTTTCTAATCGGATTCGATATCTTTTATTTTATCTTTAAATTTATATCCAACATGTACGTACATATATAACGTAGCCTACGCAAATCTTTACAGCTTAATATCCTGAAAACTATGAAATCAATTTTAATTATTTCATAAGAGTTTCAGGAAAAATGTATGTTAAAATCAACCCTCATTTGTCCGTTATGAGAATTAAAATAGGGAATAGTTGTAAAATTTAAGATGAGTATCTATATAAAATAAATTATTTTCGTAATTTATGTTATGAAATAAGCGGTTTTTGTCGGAAATATTTTTTCTTAAAAGCATTATTTAAAAAATTACAAGCGTTTGTGTGAAGTATGTGTGTATATCTATACATATTTACTTACAGTCCGCATGCGCTTTTTGAATCTCCTGCTGTACGTCTTTTTGCACTTGTTTATATTTTTTTCCGCTCTCGAGTTGGTCTACTTTTCTTCTGTATGCATTCTTGCAAACGATCCAAAAATGATACCCTTCGTCACTGTTACATTGTTCCCGAGTACTCGATATATCTTACGCTTCGTACGTTAATTTACATTCCATTGAGATCGTGTTCGCGTACAGGCATAAAAAGACGACAAGGAGAGAACGTGTGCGTAAAAGCCGAGCGAGTTAATCGCGCACTCCTCGAGAGAAAGCCTCATAAATTATGATGAAACTTCTGCTTTCTTTAAGGTTAGAATGCTTATACTGATGATTGCACAAAATGAGGTGTTACACTTGGAATTTTTATATGCATCTCCTAGTTTTTCAGTTTTCTTAGGTGACACTAACGCCATCACGGATCTAGAAGTTACCGATTGGGGTCCGATTTGAATGATCAGATATTTACTGTCGTGCGCAAATGTACGAGTTTCTAACCACGAACTGATCAGAAACTCCTACATTTTCGTAGAAATTAACTAAAAGTAGGGTCTACGTTAGGTAAACAGAACGGAATCCCTTTAATTTTTTTAGAAAATCTCATAAGAATCCGACAGTGTAAGTGGGATAAAAATGAGCGGGGGATTTCTTCGAGAAGCTCCTTATACACGAGCGCTCGTATTTTCTGCGTATCCGTTAAAGAGATGCCATACTTGAAAACTTTACTGACGAAATACTGAGTTTTTTTTTTTGCAAAGTTTACGTCGTATTGATTACACAAAATTACAAGTGCTTTTACACACTGAAAGTACGCGTAATTATAAATTGAAGCATTGCTCACTTGCTGTGTTATGAAAAAATGTTGAAATTGACGTCTCAAGCTCGACTCAATTAGTGCAAATATTTACTTGGTACAAATATTTTGCAAGCTTGTACATATCGCGTGGTATTTGCTCCGCCAACGAATATTTCGAGGGACATTTCTGTATTTTTAAAGCTGAATCTAAAAGTTTAAAAATATACGAAAAGTTTGCAGAAAGATTTCCATATACGCATGGTTATGTTTTCTACTAACATGGTAAAACAAAGCAGCCTATATTTTGGTCTGTTTGTTTTCCAAGAATTTCTGCACTACTGCAATAAGTTAGAGTGAAACAAGTATACTTCCTTTCACTCTAACTTATCGCACTACTAGTGCACACTAGTTCAGAAGTTCTTCGAAAACGAACAGGCCTTCTATGTAGGATATCTATATGTACATATACTCGGTTACTAAGGTCCGTATTAAGGGGATGCTGAAGTAGACGATGAACTCGAACAATGTCAATAACGCAGAGACGTTGTCACTAATCACGCTATCCTTTTCGTATTTCTTGTACATATAGATCTTACATGTAAACGTGTGTTGCTTTATTTTATCTTATCCAGCGGAAAACTTAACCATGCATGTGTAGAACTTTTTCTGTAAACTTCTCGGAACTTTTGGATTAGCCAAATATTATGCTGCTAGCTTGAGATTTTACATTAAAAAAATTTTTTTTGCTTTCGTCTCATATATTGAGCAATGCTTCTATTTATTTTTACACGAACTTTTATTGTGTTAAAGCATTTGTAATTCTGCACAACAAATATGACGTAAACTTTGCAGGAAAATGTCAGTATTCTGTCGGTAAGGTTTTCAGCTTCGGCATCCCCATTACTCGAAACTTGTTCCATATGAGATACAAATATGAATTTAGAGTTATTTTGAGTTTTTTTAATTACACAATATATGGAACATTACATTTCCAACTGCGATTCTGCCAAAATATTCACATCTAACTCTACATTAAAATCTGAGGGTTTCATCTGAAGTAAGTTTCAAGCAACGACTATTGATACAGGCCTAAATACCGTACCGGTCCATGGACATAGTATACATGGACTCCGAATGCTCTATGTTTTATCGTCTAATAGAGTGAAGCCAACATCTAGAAAGAGAGCTAGAATAGAGGGGCTAATTTTCTTCCTATTTTGTCACTTTTTGTTGCATCCATTTCTCGTTTCCATAATATTATAAAGCGCAACAGCATCCCGACTAGACTGGCAAGTAAAAGTCTTACTTAAATCTTATTGCACACTTTGCCTGTGCAGAAAGAGACAGAGAACAGAGAGGCTGTACATATTGGCTTCTCTTTTCTGACTGTATGCGGAGTCTATGTATATTATGTCTATGGTTTCTTTCTACATATTGGCTTCACTTTTATAGACCCCGTATGCGGGGTCCATGTATACTACGTCGTAGCGATCACACTTTTTTTCTGAATGAAGTTGCAGCACTCCTGGTTGTCGGCAGGGTAGTATTGTAGATGATCATGTTAGTGACGATCGCCGCTACGTTATCGACAATTTTCGTGTTCGTCATCCACTTGGGTATCCTCTTAGTGATATCGACCGCAAATGACATCTGAGTAACGCGCTTCGACAGCTGGTTGTCAATGGTGCCGATACCTGCCGCAAGATAACCTCCTCCGGTTAAACCAGCCCCACCTGCGGCGAATTGAATCGGGAGCTATCGCGGAATTAAGTGCCATTTAGCTGTTAATTTACCGCTCTATTCCCGATTTTAGTAGCGAAGCCGCTTAGTGGAAATTCGCGGCTAAAGATACAGATGCCAACTTAGCGTTAAGCCGGTCTCGCCGGTCATGGTCGAACGAAAAGTACACGAAACGAGAAAATAATTGGCGTCGGATAGCAACAGAGGACTTCTCTCGATAGCTTTGGGAAATAGTCAATACTCGTTAAACGTATCTGTTAGGGGAATAGGTTATTTTAACTTGTCGATTGAACGATCGCGCCAAAGAAGAATCCCGCGACTGGCGCTGATGTAATAAACCGCGTGATTATAATTAGCGCTTTCCACTTAGCGACACAAGCGTCATTCAACAAGCATTCAAGCATCATTCTATCTTTATTAGTCATTGAATGAAATAATATCACACACTTAGACCCGTATTAATAATCGTTGTTTGAAGCTTTTTTCAAATAAGATATTCAGGTCTGAGTTCAGAGTTAAATGAGAGTTTTTCAATTGAATCACGATTGCAGATATAATGTCACATATATCATATAATTTAACTAAAATATTGGGATCTAATTCTGAATGAAAATCTGAATATCTCACGTGAAACAATCTTCAAGTAACGATTATTAATACAGGCCTTAGCTCCTTTATACTTATGGCATTGGAATAAATGAACAAATTTAATGTGTACATATTTTATAGGAATTTTTAAATTACTAATCCTATAGTCGATTTTAACGATTTTACGATACGCAACCGTAAAAATTGTAGCGATTTCATGTGACTTAATTTTAAATACGCGTTGGTTTTTAATAGGGCGAATTAAAGAGGGCCATTTGCGCGGCCTACTTTTTTGCAGGTGATTTTGAATTGCAAAAGAGTATTATATCTCGGATCACGATACGGTGCTGTCTCCATGATGGAACGTATCGTTTGCATTCGTACACGGCTTATCGAACTAGAGAACTACAGACTCTTGAATCAAAGTCTGGCCATAAGACAGCCAGTTTTGATTAGTCCGCCATGTTTTGTCAAATCTCACATAGTATCTAATCACAGTACTTCTATCGTAGTAGGTTAAGGAGACATAAACAAAGGAATAGGTTAGAAATATGTTTCTCTCTCTCGTAGGATTTTGATAAAACTGTAGTTAACTGTAGTTATAGCCAAACTCT